TACCTCAGTTGGTTCTATTCAGCCTAACCTTGAGTAAACTGTGATGGATGGGACAGGGCTCTCTGAGTTGTATTGGAATGACAGTTCTTCACAAAATCAGAAGAGTAGAACAGCACTGGTATGGAACATACTTCTGAGAATTGTTTATATATATTAAGTGAAAAAAGCATTCTATGGTACAAAGTCCAGGAGTCCCTGAGGCCACCCCAGACTCCATAAATCACTAGAAGGACTCACAGACTCAGAGAGGCTATTATACTTAGGGTTAATTTTCATTACAGTGAAAGGACATAGATTAAACTCAGCCAAAGGAAGAGGTGCACAGGGCAGGGTCCAGAAGTCACCAGACTTGAGCTTCCAGGCATCCTGTCCTGCAGATCTGTCTGGACAGTGCCTCTTTTTCCCAGCAGCAGCATACGACATGACAATACACACAAAGTCCTGACAACCAGGAAAACTCACCACGTTTCTGAGTCTAGAGATTTTACTGGAGCTCAGTCATGTAGGCGTGGTTAACAGTGTCTGACCTTAGTGTCCTGTCCCTCCAGAAGCTGAGCTGATACTGCATGGCCCAAGGGCTCCAGCCGAAGTCATGCCGTTGGCATAGGCTATCTGGCATAGTCCAGAGCCTCCAGGCAAACCAAGGCACTCATCTCAGGCAGGACATTCCAGAGGCAAGCGGTTACCTCCTGGGAGCTGAGGGCAAATGACAAACCTGTCCTTGGCCAGGGGCAGTCCTTCACTATCCATACGAGGATATAAATCAGATCATGCCAAACAAACTCCAGTAGTTCCCCTTTCCACTCACATCAAACCCCAATTTCCTGCCCTCACCTGCAAGGCCCTACCTGATCTGGCCTTTTCATCTTGGTCACTGTATTCCAAATACACATATCTTCTTTGGTGTTTTTAAGACACTAAGCTCTTCCCTGACCTTTGCACTAGCTGTTTCTACTGCCTGAAGCGTTCTTCTCCCAGGTCCTTCTGGTCTCAGCCTAAGAAATGTCATCTCCTCAGAGGCCCCTTTCTGGTCTACCCAAATTTCATGAGTCCCCAAGTCAGTCCTTATTGCACCACCATGTTCTGTGTTCGTCACAGCAGTGAGCATTGCCTACTATTTTCCAGCACCAGCTAATTCGTCTGTTAGCAGTCTCCATGCAAGTCTGTAAGATTCTTGACTTCTTGACTTTCTCTCTATCCACAACACCCACAATGTACTGAGCCTAGAGTAAGTGCTCAGTAAGTCACTGAATAGATGAATTAACAGCTTGATGAATAAATAAGCTTTACAAGGGCCAGTTTGAATAAAACAAGTAGAATTCTTTTTTTCTTTTCTTTTTTTTTTTTTTTTGGGGCTGGGTTTGAACCTGCCACCTCCAGCATATGGGACCGGCACCCCACCCTTTTGAGCCACAGGTGCCACCCGTAGAATTCTTATTTTTTTTTTAATTTCTTATAGCATAACTATGTACATTAATGCAATCATGGGGTACAGTGTGCTGTTTTCATATACATTTTGAAATACTCTCATTAAACTGGTTAACATAACCTTCATGTCATTCTCTTAGTCATTAAGTTAAGACATTCATACTCTGCTTTTAGAAAGATTCACTTGTACCCTTATAAGATAAACCATATAGGTGACAAGTAGAATTCTTTATGATAAGAGCTTTAGTGCCTTTAATATATTAATGTTGTATGGATTGTGAGTCTCTGAGTGCTTCACATGTGTTCATGTCTCTGGGAACAGTTTGGGGGGAATATCAACGTCAAAACTTGGTGTGTTTAAGGAATAAGATTTATTTTCATATATAACTAACTTTTAAAGAAAATCAAATCCAAAGTATGGTACATATTCTTGAAAAATTTCTTTTGCTCTTACTATTCTGCTCCATCCCTTAGGACTCTGCTCTCTGCTAACTACTCTAATAATTTAATTTGTACTTAGGCATAAATAGGTAATATTGCCTCAGGATCCTTCACCCCTTCTTTTATTTATTGGCTATATTGAATCCCTACTGTTACTAGAAGCAGGGCATGAGGATGACAGCAGTGGGCCGGTGAGGAAAAAATGATTTCCAGTCTAGAAGCCTTTGATATCCCTCAAGTTACATCCTGAAAGTGTCTGTTTATGCCTCATGCATTTAAGTTCTGATTGTTAACTGAATTCTACACGACAGAATCAAATATTGATAAATAATTTTAATAGACCTTGGTAACGATATATTTGAAGTAGCTTTTAAAAGTTCTGGTGACTGGATGAATTTATGCTATAGAAAATTGTATTCCTATTTGAAACTTTAGGATGAATAAAAAGTACACCTGTATTTTCAGATGCTAAAGATTCTTTCCATAGAAACACGCACAGTGAATGGTTATTTGCTACAGTAAAGAACTCACTGGGGCACATGCTTTTTCCAGATGCCCTCTTCTTTCTGCCTCCCCACTGGGGACGATAAGGTGCCAGGCACTGTGGATGAAGTGTCAGAGAGGCTCTGAGGGATATTTCTTCGGTCGAGGTTCAGCTTTTTGTTAGCACTAGTCTATGATAGTTTTGTCGTTACTCGCTGGGCACAGCCTCTCCTGGCCTCTCCACCATGGTGGGATTTGAACTCTAATTTCTTACTCTCCAGTTGACATGTGGCTCCTCTCGCATAGTAAATCGGCCCTGTGTCACTCCCCATGCTGACTCTTTGAGCAGGGCACATAATTACTGGGATTCTGGAGGCTGTGAATTTGCTTCGAACCCTGTGTCATGTACTCTTATAATGGAAACTCCTGTGGACACTTGGATTTCTAACTTGAAATTCAAAGCATTCTCTATTAGAGACCATTATGCTGAGAAATCACCCTTGGAAAGCAGGCTTGCGTGGTTCTATTTATGTAACCGGCCTGCCCATGTCCACACAACCATAATATCCAAATGCACGTTTCTGTCCTTTGGCTCTACTCTCTGAGTATATTGGTTAGTTCTTGAATAAGTTTTAAGTCAGTCATGAAACCAGTTGTTTAGACATATAAATTACTGCCACCAGACCTATTCACAGCCAAGATTTTACAGATGGATGTCTTGATAAATGTGTTTTCATTTGCTGTAATTTCTATATAGTGTCACTGGAAAAATATAATATACGTTTTCCATTAAGAAGAAGGCAGCAAGATGATGCAGGGAGTGGCCATTTATCTTGTGATTCCAGTGATTCTGGGATCAGGATTAACTTGAAGAGAATTCCTACTTCTAGCAAGAAAACTATTGGCTAAACACACACAGATAGAAAACCCCATTTCACAGCCAGAATCTCTTTACAAATAGAAGAGATAAAATCAAAACCAGAACACACTTCTTCAGCCAAGACTCTCTCTGTTGAGATCTGCGGGTAAAGGGAAGGCCGGTGATAAGTGTCCCCTGGGGAGGGCTGAGCCCTGGGTCTATGCTGGATGCATTAGCCAGGCTCCCAAGGGCTGTGCCCTGGTGAGTCCTCAGGCAGAGGGTGGGGGGGGCTCCCCTCATCACTTCCCCTTTGCCAGGTGTGTTCACAGGTCTGGCAGCACAGAAGGAATGTCAGAGGAAGTGAGTAACGGCACAGTCCCTGTTCCCAAGTTAGTGGCAGTGACAAGGGCCAAGAGCAAGGCAGCAACATTTGACTTCTGACGCCCCATGCAGGCAATGAGCAGCCACCGGCCTTCCCCTCCCCTCCTCTAACAGGGAAGTCCCTGGCTGCCCAGGTCTTTCCCATCATCTTCTTCTGGAGTCTGTTAGGTCAGATTCCCCAGTAAACCTAGCCCCACCCTTCCTTGTTCTAGGGATGTGCCCTTTTCAAGCCACCAAATTCCCAAGCCACGAGAGCCACTCACAGGCTCCTTTCTGTCCCTGCCACCTGCATCAGGGTTCCCGGTGCCTCAGAACTGACAGTTTGAAGCTCAAAGCAACTAAAAGGTCAGGATCCCTGTTAATACTACCAGACGTATTAGGGATTCAGTAGAATTTGGGGAATTGGATGAGAAACCTATCATCTTTTAAAGCATTGAGAAGAAGCAAGTTTCTATGGTTGTTGACAAAGTGCTGTTCTTAGATTTTGCCTTTTTCCCAAAAACTAAGAACCAACACATTTTGAACATAACCTATCTGTAGGTCATGCTTACAAGCATATAGGAATATAAAACCAGACATGTTAAACAGGCATGCCCCTGGAGATGGAGAGCGGTAATGGTACTGACACCAGATGGGGTCAGTTGGACAGTAGTTAGGGTGAGAGGGCCGGGAGCAGGATCTCAACTCAGCAGCAAGGAGCAGAGTGGCCTGGACAGTAAATTGGAAGCACATACAGTTACAAGTGTTCATTTTATTTTAGCTGTCTGCCGTCTTGTTGCCTGGCCCCTTTTTCCTCCACCGACCTTCTCCTGCCTGCAGCCTTGCCACCTTTCCCTGGCACACAAGCATTCTGCTCTTTTTTGGAGGCAGTGACTTGCTCAGTACCTCTGTGAGATTGCAGTAGTATATCCTGGTCTATTTATTATCTTTTTAAAAATAGAGAGGGTGGACAGGAGATGCTAATGGCCCAGCCCTCCTGCTATCGCAAAGCATGCTTTCTCATCAGGCTCGGAGCATGAGTGGACGGCTGTGGGTACCAGGGGTGCACTGTGCTACCAACTTTCCCAAACACAGCAAAGTGTGTAACCAGTATTTGTCTTTCCTCACTTATTTCCAAAATTGTTTGTAGGGCCAACTGCATGGTGTGAAGCGTCACAAGCAGGAAGGCAAATTCCCTCTGTGACTGGGAGGAGCACACCTCCTCTCTCTGAGCCCCCCTTCTTGTTATTCTGTGAAGCAGGCTCTGCTGCTTGTTGTTGGCTCCTGAGCCTAGTGTCAAATAAGGCACCGTTTATCAGGTGGCTGTGTATGTTGTGACCTGGTCCAAAGGGAAAAGCTTTCTTGAGAAGCTATTAGCCATGACTGTTTTAAATTCCAAAAATAATGTATACCTTTTACAAAATTACAGATTGCCGTGTCCCTCAAATTGAAGATGCTGAGATTCATAACAAGACATACAGACATGGAGATAAGTTAATCATCACTTGTCACGAAGGATTCAAGATCCGTTATCCCGACCTGTACAACCTGGTTTCATTATGTCGCGATGATGGAACGTGGGATAATCTGCCCATCTGTCAAGGTACGAGGCGGATGCTGCAGTGATCAGCTGGGCTGTTCCTCTCTTGGGCTTTGTTGTAGGCTCTGTGCATGTTTCTTGGATAGAGCGGTAGAGATGGTGGGAGGAAACAAAGCCATCTCTCTGCCCCACGTGGATCCAGCTTGTCTTTACCGTGATTGCCAGATCCCCTTCTGAATCTCCATCATCACTCCTTGCCCTTTGCTCAGCACCATACACCCGTTAGCCTGTTGGATGTCTCCTTTGCTCTAAAGCATCAAAAGCAGTTTAAGAATTAGGAGACTTGTAATGTGGCTGTGAACACAATGATGAACTATTGTGTATTAAATGGAAATAACGGGGCATTTGTACTTATTTCAGTAGTGGTGAGAATTTAGTAAAAGGCAATTTCATGGAGGCTCTTTTCTCTTAATAATGTTATCCCTCTTTATAATGCATGAAGAGCAGGAAAATAATCAAATTCAAATTTCATCCAAACCACATTGTGAATATTTATCCTTGTGTGCTTTTTACATTTGTCTGGGCCAACTTAGAGGGCCCTGTTTGTGAAAATAAGCCCTCCAGTTCAGATTAATTCTGACTTTATTTTTTGACATGTGACTTAGACCAAATGCTGGAGAAGCCAGTGCATAATTCATCATCTGAGGGAAGAGAGCAACCTCGTTTGCTCCAAAAGCACCGGCCTGTTGAAGTTGAGAGAACGTGAACTTTGGAAATCACAGCTGGAAGTCATAGCTGGAAGATTCTCATATTACTTTGTGTGCCCCATCTTTGGAAATAAATCACTTCCTTACATGAGAGCCAGAGTCGTGACCCCTTGAAGGAACAAAGGCTTCCAAATTAGGAGGACAGAGGCAGCCGGACCGTCATCCTGGCTGCCTTTCCCAGGAGCTGTCTGTGTGGCTTAGTGTGTTCTATGTTGCATTTTTGCAGGAGATGTGATTTACTTACCTTTTCAGAGACTAGCCACAAAGTCAGCAGCTGGATCCCAGGTAGGGCTACTTACTCAAACAAACTTTATCACCTGCTGATTCATTCCAGTCCTCCAGCACAATCAGAGTAATGGCGAGAACAATCCCCTCTGAATCTGGCACTTCCTGCCTTCCTGGTTCCCACCCGTGCTGTTGCTCTCCTGGTCTTTCTGTGTGTGTGAGAGAGCGAGAGAGCAAGAGAGAGAGGCTTAAATACACTGTGCTTCTTTGAGAGTTCTTTTGTTCCCCAATAATTAAAAACCAACCCCCCTGCTATGGTCTACGTCTCAGGGGTCACTTTGCAGCATTCAGATTTGGGCTCCCCCACTGCACTGTGTGGACACACTTGCTCTTCAGTCCCCCATTCCTGACTCAAAGCCTAGTCAAGACAAGCGTTGTAGGTCTGTAACGCAGAGCTGGCTGCTCTGGAGGGGTATGCCTCCTCCAACGCCAGTGCAGGGCCAGCCCAGCTCTCCTTCACCCTCAGCACCCTGGGTCCCACAGCGATGGTGCCCGGCTGGCATCCTGCCCACCCTGTCCCAGTGGCACTTAGGAAGGAGGGGCCTTGCCCGCTGTTGCTCCAGTTTCCTCCTGGCCGCCTGCCTGACACGCCACAGGGAATGAAGAATCGAAGTTGCTTAGACAATCCCCCAGGCCTCCGAGACCCCAGGGGAAATATAATTGGCCCTTAGAGTGGCATTTCATTCTGAAACTTTTATTTGCACCTATAGATCAAGGGGCTTCAGCCTGAGGAGCCTTCTGTGTATGATCTAGAAGTGCAAATGGGAATCACATTGAACTATTGAGCTGAAGCCAGTTCTCCACTGTTATGTACAGGACAGGCTGTCTCCAGCCGAGAGTGAGTTTATCTTGTCGTCTCCTCTGATTAACTGCTCGAATTATAATGCCTCCCCCTGAGTCAGAGAAACCAGTTTATCTATGTGAGTGGCTTAGAACTACAACTCTTTCCTGGGAGGAGGAGTGGGCACGACGTTTGCACCACCTCTCGTGAGTGACACATCACGTGCTCCTGTTTGTGCTTGTCCACGCTTCTCGTTTATCGATCCTGTGTATCCCTGAGTTCCATCCTCCACACAAACACACATTTACCTCACTTGTACCATAAACATTGTCAGTTTTCAGCTCAAAAATTAAAAAAAAAATAAAAAAGAAATAATCTAAGGTCATGGGGCTGGCTGAGTTCCATGCCTTTTTGGGGCATGGTGCACCCTAAATGTCAGCCAGTTGAGGCCAGTGATCTGCAGCATCCGCAGAGTGCTATGGCCCCAGGACCCCGCGGTTCAGGGTCAGTACCGCCTGACCCCAAGCACCTCACCTTCCTGAATGACAGACACCACATACAGTGGTGTTGACTGGAGCACTTTGCTGAGACACCAGGGAAGCTACCAGTCAGCTTAGGAGAAGGGTGCAGTCATCCGCTCTGCCTATGGTGCATACACTCTTTGGTGACTGGAAGGGAACGTGGGTTATTTCCATTATACGTTATTTACTTCACGCACAATTAGTTCTCCCCTGGAAGAACCCTGGCACTGCCATTATTCCCTCCAGTGAAGTCGCTGAAGCACTGAGAAATTCCACGATCACAGTGGGTGCCACATACAATAGAATTCTGTGTCAGTGGGCATGTTCCATTGGGCTGTGCAGACTTTAAGACAAAAAGACTCGTGCTTTACAGAAGTGGCAGCCTGGGGTCTGGGTCCCACTTCCACTCTGACAGCTCCCAGGCTACTGCACCTGATGCAGGGCCTCACGGCAGCAGTGCCTCTGGGCGTGATCCCCAGACAGCCCCAGTGGCTCCTGGAAGTTAGCAGTGCCATCCTCTGGCTCCACTCCAGACCTACTGAGTGGTGGCTCTGTAGGTGGTCCAGCCCGCTGTGTTCTAACAAGCCCTCGGGGTCATTCTCAAGTTTGACAGCTGCTGCCCTATAGTTCCTCATCTAGTTCATGTAAAACGCAACTGGATTTTTAAAAGTTTGAGGGCACCATCTCAAGCAGGCTTCTGTCCCAGAATCTGTTGCCGTGGAATTGAGTTTGGGACATAACCTTTCTCCTTCTCCCCACCCCCACCTCCACACTGAAACCACTGGCATCTCTTTCCTTCATGGCCCCTCAGTGGTTCTCAACCTGCAGGCTCACAAGTATTACCTAGGAGCTTTAAAAACAGGCAGTGATCCCCAAGTTCTCCCCAGACCCTAGACATGGGGCCCAGGCCTGTGTGGCATTTAAAGTCTCCTGGGGTGATACAGACATGCAGTCAGGGCGGGAACCCCCTGGCGAGGAGTGGGCCAGTCCACTGTCAGGCACTCACCACGCTCCCTCACTCTTAACTCCTTCTCTGACCTCTCGGTGCCACTTGCAAATACAAAAGCAAATGTCTGCATTGTAAGCAGAATGGCAAGTAGAGGAAAGAGGCTGAGCATTTGGAACTGAGGGGCTTCATTCTTTAGAGGTGGTGCCCTTTTTGCCGTGGGAGGTCCTAAAGAGTCCCCCGCTCCACTGACTTTGAGCTGTGCTGAGATGAGTGAGGGAAGACCTTCCCTTTCTCTTTCCCCTTCCACAGGCTGCCTGAGGCCTCTGGCCTCGGCCAACGGCTACGTGAACATCTCTGAGTTCCAGACCTCCTTCCCAGTGGGGACTGTGATCGCCTATCGCTGCTTCCCCGGGTTCAAACTCGAAGGGGCCGAGTACCTCGAATGCTTACACAACCTTATCTGGTCGTCCAGCCCACCCCGGTGCCTTGCTCTGGAAGGTAACACATCTTATTCTTTCAGAAGTTGTACTCTGGATAATTCAAGGGGGTGTTTTGATAGGAGACGAAGAGCTACAAATCATGGACAGCAATAACTTTTATTTCCTAAGTTCATTTTTCTTATCTCTGTCCAGAGCAGAGATCATCTGCCACAAAGCCATACTTACAACTAGACGTAAAGCTTCCTCCCCTCATCCTCAGGCTTCAGGAGGATGAGAGCAGATGAAAGAAAAAGTTGCAAGCATCAAAGGTTAAACTGCAAAATATTGCAAAGTTAAATGAAATGTCTTCAAAAATTAATTTTCTCTGCACCAAATGAAAACAGATTGTGTTACGGCCTCATTAATCTCCCCCCTCGTTTTATTGTTGTGTCAATGTTTCTTCCATATTTCCATGCATTTTATAGCTTAGCTATAAATGTTTTGCTGCAAGCACACCCTTGGAAGCCTGAAAGCAAGACTCTTTCCTCCCTGTTTTTATTAAATCTATATGAATATAGATTGTGACCCACTAAAGACCACTAGTCAGTAGCCTGGAGTAGTGAGGGGACAGGGTGTCATCCACTGGCAGTGTCAAGGCAGTGTCTGAGGGGGCAGAGTCCATAAAAATCCCCGGGAGGCATGTTGGACATGCTGGTTCAGTTCTTGCTTTAACTCAGGGCTTGAAATTTTGCCTGACAATAATAAACACGAATGCACTTCTTGGCATCTGAGTATAGTGGGCAGGAAAGGGTCTATATGGGGAAAGAAAAAAGAAAAGGAAAGCTCCAATTAACAGCCCCTCCAAAGCCTATTTGCAGCCTTGCTTGGGAAACAAAATAAGAAACACTGGAATGTGGAAGCATTTGCAGCATCTCTGCAGTGTGAACCTCTGTGTGGGAGGGAGTCAGGTGGGGGGTGTGGTAGAGGATGACTGCTGGCTGCAGGAATCAGAGAAGGTGCTTCTAGAGGAAAAGTTGGGGCTCACCGTGGGGTTGACTAGAGCCATTAGAGGAAAAGGAAGGCGGGGGTGAGGGGGAAGAAGCTAGGCTTGTCCCTTGGTTTTGCCATGCTCCTGTGCAAGACTCATCCAGCCCCACTTCCCACTCATCCCAGATCTTCTAGGGAATTGGAGTCTGGACTGGAGATGTCAGATGAAATAGAAGACACTCAATTAAACATGAATTTCAGATAAACAACAGATCATTTTTTGATACGGACATGTCCTAACTATAGTAGAATCTCTGTAAGTTGACCTCCCAAGGGACTGTAACAAACTGGTCAACATATGGAGGTGGGCAACATAAGGAACTAGGCCTGCTGATACGTATGTGTGGGGCTTGTCCGGTCTATGAAAATTATGACAAATTAGGTCAGCGTATGGAGGTGCTCAATATGGAGGTTCCACTGTACTGTGTGGGATTTACAGTGAAAAATTATTCTCTGCTTATCTGAAATTCAAACAGAACTGAGAGTGTTGTGTCTCTGTTTTCTATATCTGGCAACCCTAGTCTCAAGGGACAAGGCCATTCCCTTTGTTTCCAGTGGGAACAGCCTTCCTGCTGCCTGGTTGCTACTGTTTGGCTAAGGTGGGAGCGTAGGCCAGTGATGAAAGGGGACTTTTCCCTAGTTCCTGGAGGCTTCTCCCTGCTAAACAGATAACCAGGCAGAGAGGGTCGTTTAAAGATATATCATTGTTGTGATTTTATCAATTTGAAATGCCTATTTTAAAATCCTTTCAAATTTGGCTTAAATGTGCTTCAAGAGGTCAGGGTTCTGATAAGCTTCATCTTGGGACTTGAAAAGTGGTTTTTATGGAGCCTAGAGAATATAATATGGACAGGCATAAAACACAATCTAAGGTTATAAACAGGGAGCTGCGAGTGGCTTCTGGTTGAAAACGAGCCTTCTGGCCTCATGCAGGGCCCTTGCCCTCCACCAGCCTGTGCTGCGGCCAAGGATGGAAGTGAAGTCCCGACTGAAGCCCCCTGTGCCAGGAAGGCCACTTAATGCTTTTTTTTCTCTCAAGTTTTTGTTTTTAATAATATTTACATCGCTCTTTTAAATATACACCCCTTTATGTTCTCTGATGCAACTAGTCGGTGAGTCATTTAAATGAGATACTGGCTGTGATTCTAAGCTGAAAGAGAGAGAACTAAAGGATTGTTTTCTCACAGTATAATGGGAGCTGGTTGACATTGAACAGTGGGTTAAAACACGGGGTAGGGATTCATGAGCAAGTTATCCAGATGTGCCTAGGTGTTGCAATTTCATTCTTGTATATCGTCGTCTTAAAAGATGGTGCTTTATTTATGCAGTATTGACATAGGGTATTTGCATAGATGAACTGGCCCAGAGGAATCGACCCCTTTAATAGATCATCCCCACCTTTTCTCCCTTATTTTTCTGCCTTCCTAAGCACACAATTTGCACCATTTGATTTCTCTTGATGACAGAGTGAAAATGACTGAACTATGCTGTGGCATCATGATTCTCAAAGGGGCTTTGAAGTATCTGAGGACATTCTGACCCCTCCAGTGACTGGGTGGAGACAGCTGTGCTGTAGAAATCTTTCTCCATGAGCTTCTCATCTCATTTCCTTTCCCCTCTCACTGTTAAGCAGGCAGCTGTCAGTCTACTTATCACTCCCCGGGCACCTGCCGCTGCGCTTGCCCCCACCCCCAACGCTCTCTCTTAACCTGCTGTGAGCTGGTAGATGGGCTCGCCAGCTGATCAAGGAGGCAGTGCGGGGAACTGATTAGGCGTTCGGCCGCTGTTGGTCTCCTGGCTGTAGGTCCTGAGTGTTCTACTTAATCACTCTCACCTGGGGCAAGTCGCTTACCCTCGCTCGGTCTCCGTGCTTCCTTTATAGCATTGGGGTGGTGAACATACTTTCCTCATGGGCCCGTAGGATTCAGTGTGATGACAAATCCAGCACAGTTAGTGAAGCACCTGGCCCAGCATAAGTGGTCGATCAAGTGTCCATCATGATAAATTTACTGAGAGTAATATAGAAAAGTCACAATAAATAAGTGAGGTTCTGGGCGTGACTCTGAGTAGAGTCCAGGCTTTGGGCAGGTACATTGTGCCACTATTTGGTTGTTCAGGTGCTATTTTGGTAACTGGCATGTTCTTGGCTGTGCTTCTGTAAGATGAATCTCAGATAATACTGAACAATAGTAGCAAACACCATTAAACTGGAGAGCCTCCTACATACGTGTGGATCTCAACTTAAATGTTCGACACAGTATCTTATTAAATTTGAGGCAGCTGCTACTATTAACCCCATTTTGCTGATGAGAAAACCCAGGCTTCCAAAGGTTCAATAACTTGCCCAAAGTCACACCGCATGGGAGGGGAGCTGGGACTCAGCCACTTCAAAGCTTGTGATCTTAACCACCAAGACATGTTGTCTAATTAATTTGTTCTGATTACAATCCAGGCAGAAAAACAATGTGATATCTTTATAGCCATTTTTTAAAAGAGTCAAAAAAAAATGTTTAAATCATTGCATAGGAAGGAATTTGTCTTCCTAGTCTAGTTATCCTCCCTGGGAAGTCGCAGGGGCTGGGGCCTCAAGTCCAGAGGAAGGCCCTGCTGCCGTTGGGGTGGCTGTGAGGTCTTGCTTGGTGCCCTGCCAGAGCCCGTTAGTCTCCTCTGTGATCGTGGAGCCTCTCTTCAGCCAGCGCGCGAGCGAGGGCGACATTGTTGGTATCCTCTTGCTGATGACACAACGCCATAAAGTGTGAAAAGACTTGTCCAGACCTGCCAACTCTTGGCACGTGGCTCTTTCTGCCACATGGAGTCTCCTTTTTCTTATGGAATGGAGAGTGCTGTGTGAGGGCCACCATTTGAGTGACAGCTATCACACTCACATGTAAACAATTTCATAATTGATACCAGCTTCATGAAGGAGTTGATGATTTGGAAGGAAAACCTTTGGCAGCTTCACCAAAGGTGACGAGAGTTCCAAGGCCTGGTGTGAAGGCGCAGGGCTGGTGCTGCAGGGCCGGTGCTGTTGCCCTCCTCTTATCATGAGTGGGAAGGTTCTGGAGCAAGTGTGTGTCCTCACAGCTGGGTCATGGGGTAAAGCTGCTGAAATCTCAAAGCTTTGACCCAGAATGAAGCCTGAGATATTTTAAAATAGATGATCATATAAAATCGGATGCAGACTATGGTCTGAGTATGTTCCTCGTCTGTGTGCGTCTTAATGCCCTCCTGTCTCAGGGCCTCTTCCTCCCAGAGGCTCTCACCTCGCTCTCTTTCAAACACACACACCCTGAATGTGAGAAATCTTTAAGAACAAAATTTTTTGAAAATGATGCGGATATTTTTCCCATTTTTAAATTCTGAGAACTCAGTTTGCGCCGTCATCCGTGTTTTGGGAACACCTGCTAGGCCCAGACCAGCACCGATTTGGACACTGGGGATTTACAAAGAAAGAAAAGGACATAATTTCTTACTTCGTAAGAGTCCACAGCCTGCTGGGGAGAACAAGGTGATAATTGCAGACAGCATCCAAGCACGCACGCAGCCACTTTCGCTGAGGGGGCCTGCGCGCCTCTGCATTTCGGAAGAGTGAGGAACAATTCTAGGAGCTGACGTCACATTTGTCAAATGAAGTTTTCTACCCTAGGATTTATGGCATTTTTGTTTATTTTTCCCTGAGACCAAACAGTAGCATATTCTCTGTCTACTTGAGCTTTAGGAAAAGACAAGAGTTTGATCATCTCACCCACATGGACGGACTGTGCGTTTTGAAGCTCAGCAGAGCTCATCAGTGTTGACACGACATGGCCCAGTGTGTGAGTGACCCCAGCCCAGTGGTTGGCAGGTTGGGAAGATAGAAGGAAATTGAGAGGCACGAAGTCAGTAAATGAACCAAGCATGTAGCAAAATCGTTGCCAGGAAGGCTGCAGGCACATGTGGAACAGTGGAGGAAGAAGCCGTCCAGACTCACAGGATCCGCTGAGCCCCGTGTTGCTGGGGCTGCAGAGGACGCTGGCTGTGCATGACTGCAGG